CCAGGAATAGGCTCCTTTCTGCTTCATCCCTGAATTACATGAGGGAATAGTGCCCAGGAATAGGTTCCTTTCTGCTTCATCCCTGAATTACATGATAGAATACTGCCCAGGAATAGGTTCCTTTCTGTTTCAACCCTGAATTACATGACGGAATACTGCCCAGGAAAAGGCTCCTGTCTGCTTCAACCCTGAATTACATGAGGGAATACTGCCCAGGAATACTGCTCTATCTTTTACATATATATGTGTTCTAATAGGGGAATAAGTGGTAGAATTTACTTGTATATAAGATTTTTATTTCCTATAGGATTTAATAATGCCAACACGTTATTACTGATTAACCTAAATGTAATTAGGAAGGAACACAGGAATTCTCCTAAGGCTTTTGCTTTTAATCTAAATTCCAAAGCAAATATAGAAATGATAAGGACTTGTGGGAGACAGACTTTCTTTTTTCAGAGAAAGATAAAACAGTCATGGAATACTACTCAGTAATAAAACAGGAACAAACTACAGATACACTCAACAACTCAGAAGAATCTCCAGGAAATATGGTGAATTAAAAAGGCCGATTCAAAGGTTACACAGAGTAGGGTTCCATTATTAGGATGTTCTTGAAACAACAAAACTATCAAAATGGAGAACAGGCTAGTGTTTGTCAGGGGTTAGAGATGAGGCAGGAGGGAAAAAAGGAGGCAGACATATAAAAGGACAACAGGGATTCCTGTGATGTAATGTTCTTTATCTTGACTACATCAATAGCAATATCTTGGTTATGGTACTGTAATAGTTTTAAAAGACGTTACTATTTTGAAAAACTGGGTAAAGGGAATATGGGATCTCTAATATTTAGGAATCTACAAGTATTTGTGAATTATTATTCTCTCAAAATACTGTTTAATTAAGAAAATAAGTCAAAGGCAAATATCACTAATTTAGATAGAAAGAGATAGCTCTTGTTGCATTTTAGCCTTAAGCAGGAATATCTAGTAAGTGAATAAAAACAAGGATGGCAAAAGCAATTCATTTTAATTAAAAATATAGGATTTACTACCAATGGCAGGATAGAACAGTTTAAAGTACATGTTCTAAATTCTAAAACTTGCATTTTTGAAATTCATACCAATTAACTATTCCAAATGAGTCTGTCGTTTGAGTTTACAGTAATCATTAATAAGGCATAGTAAGTAGCTGGCTGAGTCAGATATTCTTTTCCTGGTTTTGTCTCCTCCTCTACCAAACACACCCACGCGTCATGCAATTTACACCTGTATACCTTTTCTCAGGAGCTCTGGTGGTGCAGTGGTTAAGTGCTATGGCTGCTAACTAAAAGGTGAGCAGTTTGAATCCACCAGCTGCTCCTTGGAAATCCTATGGGGCAATTCCACTCTGTCCTATAGGGTTGCTACGAGTCAGAATTCACTTGATGTTCCCTCTGCCTAGAATGCCTTTATCCATTCCATCTGAATAAATTCTGCTAATCGAATCCTTTAAAGGTCAATTCACATCTCTCTCATTCTTTTAAGTCTTCCCTTAGCCTCTTCTCTCCTATTCCCACCGTCCCAACCCTGCTGAAGGAAAATTACAAAAAGCAATGCCAACAGATTCCCAAATTCAAATTTAAAGCATCCAAACCTTAATTAGAGATGAAATGTTTCACTGTGTATTTTTTCGGAGAGTTTCCAAACAGCTCCAATTTTTCCCCTTGTATCCTCTGTCGTCTACATACATATGCAAATATTTGTGGTGTAACCGCCCAGCAAAGTCACAGTAAATATAAATCGACAACCTCCACGAGTTCTTGCTAACTTAGAGGTTGGATCAGGTTAAGATGGAGCAAGCACAAACCATCGTGTCTGCTACTGAACATGGCTAACACCACTCGGGGAGAACGCATGCAGCAGCAATCTGAAGACTAAAATGTAAATGATAGTAGGCAGACGGGGGAAGAAGACATGGCAAGAATTCAAAGTACCAGTGAACAGGAGGTGCTCCTCCCTCACTTTTTTAAATTTATCTTTTTAACTCCGGTATCCCTTGGCTTGGATTCAAGATAGCCTGAAACCTGGAGGCGGATACCAGGATTGTCAGAGAGCACCAGAAAGCCCTCAGGAAAGGGGTCTTCCAAGGCTCAAAGAGAACTACACCATTCCCCCTCCATTCTTTTCTGGCCCAGGTCATTCCAAGGTAGTGGTGGTAGTGGTAGAAACAAGGAAGACAACGGGGGACCTGCAGGTGCCTAAAACTCTGAGGAAGGGGAACCTTCTTCTACAACTAGAAGAGCTGTGGTCTCT